GGAATTCAAAATTTTACTATAATTAAAAATGTAAATTCTAGATCTGTGCAAAATGTTCAAATGATTCTTTTGCAGATTAATACACCCACACAAAAAACCCACTTCTATTATACAATATATACATTAATACAGTATATGACAATATTGGAACACCCTGGAAGTAGTTACACAGATTACTTGGGAAGATATGGCTATTTGAGTGAAGAGCCCCTCTAAATGCTTTGCATAGCCCTACTAAAACACATCTTACATTATATAACAGGAATTATCGGAGTGTTCGCTAGAGCCTATGAATTAGTTTTACTGAAACATTTGTAGTGTATTCATATTGATAGTTGTTTTTTCTTGTTTTTTTTTAAATGATTACGAATTATATTTATTTTTTATGGAGGTGATGTTTGATGATTTTTTAATTGATGTTCACCAACCAGAGTAATTTGTTGAGATGGGCAGCTATATAAATTAAACAAATATTATACTATACTATAGTTATCTCTCAGCATTCAGACATAAGCCCCATTGTACTCCCTGGTATGAGAATAATAGGAATGCAAGTGTAAAATCTTAGATCAATTGCAATTACAATTAAATATCTAAATCTAAAGTAATTCCCTACAAATGCACTTAAGTAACAATTTGCTTAACAAGTTCCAACCATTCTATCATCTGATTTTACTTACACTTTTATACTTAGCGATTATGATGTAACCGAAGACAAATGCAAACTGTAAAATATTATTTGTTGCAAAAGACGGAGTATTAGAGTTCCCTAATATCAAGTAATTGAACACAGTTGATTTTTTTAAATTATAACTGTTCATATGCCTTTTTCAAAATTGCAAGTCTGACATTTCAAAAATAAACAGTAAGTGAAATTAGCAAGCACCTGTATGTCTATTAAGAGACTTCGTTTAAACTTCCTTTTTTGTGGTTTTAGTTTTTGTTCAACTTTTTAAATATACGCTTCAGAAATAGTTATTTTGTTAAAATCTTTTAGTGGACTGGTAAATTATTTTAACCACAATTTGTACCAGTTTGTACACAATGCACATTTTGTTGATCTGAGTTTTTTTTATAGCACAGACAAGCTTTTAGAGCATTACATCTGCAAAATATTATGAGATGTGCTATCAGATTTCTTTCTATATGACCAAACCACTCTAATAGATTTTATAGCGACTGCACATTTCTGCATGCAATTATGAATATTGTGTTCTTGTTACATTACTCAACTGTATTCATTAATCACCTATTCATTCTTGTCCCTATCCCCACTTACATATCTTGAGTAATCCCTACCAGATTCAAGTTCCTCAATCAATTTCTTCTCATATACTTTCATTTGTATGCACCAAAGTGAACAGAATTATACTTTTCACTATTCCCCTTTCAACAAGTTACAAACCACATACTATCATTACCTTCCTAGCAACATTTGCACAAATGTTATTTTATTTATCCAACTTTAGTAAACCCTTCCACAATGGGACACATTTTTTTTTCATTTCTTCTACATTGCACCCAAACAACTTTGGAAAATACAGGTTCCAAGGACCCGTACTCCATTCTCCCAAGAGTGATGAGCCAATGAGATCCATCTTTTTCATTATTTCAGGTTATATTTGGTTTCGTTATCGTCAGGGGAAGTCTGTTAGGAGTTTTAAGACCTTAATGTGGGACGTGATGGTAGGCAACAGATTCAACCACTTCTCTTTGTACTCATATTTGATAAGGATCATTGTCACTGCTATTTACTACTTCCTCATTAATTACAATAATTGAAAAAAGAAAATCTTGCACTTAGTTTCATTTGCTAAAATTTCTTTCCTGTATCACTTATTGCCATTGTTAAATCTTGTTCATGATCTCTTCCTTTGTTGAACCAAATATTCTATTAATTCAATTCAATTTTACTGTGTAATTAATGCTCTAGGTTTCACCATTTATATATATAAACAAAATTTATATATATATGCTTTTCCCCAGGCACAGTTAACATAATGTTTACATTTGCTCTATCTATCTGTGTAGGGCAGGGGTGTCAAACCTAAGGCCTGTGGGCCAGATCCGGCCTGTGATGGCCGGAAACGGTAAGTGGCTGGCCAGCATCACTTAGGTGAGGCCCACTCAATCCCGGCATGCATGCATTAGTACAGGAAGCAGCGGGCGCACAGGCTCGGCCCATGACAGTCCGGCAGGTGCGTGTATGCACAGGATGCAGGTACATGTGCGCACACCAGCATGGCATGGCCCGGGCCTGGTACCTCCTGGGTGCACGTGTGCCTGCCAGGAAGGCATGGGCCGGGCCTATGTGCACGCACAGTGGCCCCTTGCCATTTCCAGGATGACCACCAGCATTTCAGGTGTTTATGCATGGGGGGGAGGTGTCCGGCAGCAGGGGATCCGCAGCTGTCCCTCCAGTAAGCTTTAGCCTGGCTCATTCTATCACAGTATGCACTCATGCACAGAGTCAGCAGCCACATGCACGCACAGGCACATCCCTGTGACGGCAGGTGCGCATGCACACAGGAGGCAGCCAGGATGGCGAGTTGGGGCCTGCGCGTGCATGCACCCACCTACTCCTATATTAGACTTTAGCCATGCAAACAATATATTTACATCACTCTATGCAGACTAGGATCTCTAGACTGGAAAGTATCTTGCAAGCTACTGATTGATGTTCAATCAGCTTCTCAGAATTTAAACATAGCACAAACGGCCAATCACAGAACCAACTGATCACCCCGGCACACAAGACATATATAGGCTAGAGGACAAGGACAAGACACTTCTACCGAAGTCCGGCTGCTGATGTTATCTAGCCTGGTAATGAAAAGTCCAGGAATTAAACGGCAAGCTCGGAGAAGAAACCACTGCCAAAATCTAAAACCCAAGATACAAGTATTTTCTATTGTTCCACTGTTACCCACATTCCATGAATAGGAGGTAGATACACTGTACTGAGACCAACTCATGACTTTTTGTCCTAAGAACTTAATAAGAATATTAAAATGTAGTCCTAAAACATATTTCTTGTAGAGTAAGGGATACAAGGAAACAATACAATTTTGACAAGTCTCCACAATGGAGGCACTGATCCATCCAAACGTTATTAATCCTGGAAATATTACTAGATACAAACTAAAGAGGAACTGTGTGGTTAAGGGATTGATATAGCGTGGTGGCCACAAGTGCAGATACAATCTAGATATGAGAAAGATGCTAAAATGTATGGTTTTTGTAAAGAATTAACAAAACTAGATCAGATACTAATAGGGACAGATGAAAAACTAATAGAGAAAACGTATCTATTAATATTAAAATAGAAGATGAACAAGTAAAGGAGACAATGACAGTATTGGCTGAAAACAATAGTTAGATAAGTGGCAGAAATTATTGGATAGGAATTAAAAATTAATGATGTCAACTGCATAGAGAAAATTTATATAAAATGTTCTATAGATGGCACTTCTCGCCCTCAAGATTGGCATAGATGTTTAAGGATATGTCAGTTAACTGCTGGAAATGCCATCAGATACCTGGTTTGTACTATCATATGTGGTGGACATGCCCAAAAGCAAAAAAATATTGGACAAAAATACATACATGGTTGGAAAAAATTATAAAGCAACATATTAATTTAAAACCAGAAATGTTTCTATTGGGTATGCTACCAGATAATTATAATAATGGGAATACATATTTGATCCTATGTGTATTAACTGCAGCCAGAATTGTATTTGCACAACAATGGAAAGGTGAAGAGATCCCTACAGATGAAAATGTGATTAATATTATATATTATATTAGAACGTGTAGAAATAGATTAACACTTGCAATTAAGTAAAAGGAACACACTGAATATTTTATGGTATGGGATTTATCTTATCAATGGTTAGATAACAAAAACAGAAGTTAGAAACATGGAAATATAACAAAAACCTTAATGAAATAAGGGAGATTTGTTAAAATAGAGAAGTAAATATTATGATTACTATTTTTATTATTATAGAATTAATTAAAATGTAATGAAATTGTTGTAAATATTATTACTATCTTTCAAACTATTTATACCGACAATACACCGCTTAATTGAAAATGAAACTTTGACATGTTAAAAAAATAACTATGCAAAAAAATAATTAAAATGTGTGTATGTATGTGTGTAGAAAATATTTTGCCATATTTAATCTGAAGTCTTTTAATTATAATTTGCAATTTTTTTCCTTTGTATCTTGCTCTTTAGCTAGTTCAATGTCACTGACTAAATAAATTTAAAAAAATGAAAAACTTGCTTGCTATGAGGTACATTTTTAATTACTAATAAAACATGATTAATTTTATAATTTCTGGGATTCTGAGAAGAAATTCACTTGTGTTTAGGAAATGTTGCACAATGTAATACCCTGTTCTCAGTTCCTTAACTCAAGTATGTATTTTCCTGGCACTATGTGCCTGTAGTGAGAGCTGAAAAAGGGGTATATTCGTTAAGGAGGAATGCTCACAGACCCTTCAAAGCACCTTTTCCCCTTCTGAATAGCTGCACATCCCTAGCTGTAAGCCATTCAAAACTTTAAAAATTCAAATTCAAATCCTTTCTTAGGCCCTGGAAATAGATTATTTAATGGTAGCTAATTCAACTAACAAAGAACAAGTGTGATATGATTAAATTAGTTAAACCTATTACAAACTTTGAAACTTTCATTTTGATGAACTGAAGTTTAGAAACTATGTTGAAAAGTAGTCCATCATGCTATGATTGCAGTAAGTGAATGGTTACCAAAGCACCTACAAACAATGTTGCAATATGTCTGCACAGAAGCATCAATTCAAAACTTATAAAAGGCATTCTTAGCCACCACTGTCATAATGGATTTTAAAAAGTAATAATTGGAGACAATGTGGTAGATTTATCAAACTGTCAAAATAATTCAAATTACAAAAGATATTGAAAAAACTGCTTAACTAAATCAAATATTCTATTATAGCAAACAACTTACCTTTTCTGTTGATATGAATTGAGACCAATAGCTGTCTCAGTCTAAAAAAGAATAGAAAAGTTCAATTGTAAAGCATTTTTAAAAGAAATTACTTCTAAATATTCAAATTATTTAGAACTGAATATCCGCTGTCTATCCATTACAGGAAGTCTTCAACTTACAACTGAAATGGAACCTGCCGTTGTTAAACAATGCACCGAAATAATTGCCTCACTTGATGACCGCAATCCATTCTCCATGTTGTAGTTGTTAAGTAAAGCATGTACATTTTTATTGTACTATGTATTATGACAAAATTCCTCATCAAAAGCTATTTATTTATTAGACTTTTTTCCTGCGTTTATTACCTTTAAGTAACTCCAGGCGATGAACATACATAACACTCCTTTCTCCTCTTTTCCTTAAACATCAGTCCTGTGAGGTGGGTTAGGCTGCCAAAGAGTGACTGGCCCAAAGTTACCCAGGCAGCTTTCCTGCTTAAGACAGGATTAGAACTCATAGTCTCCTGGTTTCTAGGCAAGCACATTAACCACTACAAACGGGCCCTTCACCCATTTTAATTTAACTCAGTAGTACTGAGATAAAAATAGAAGTTTTTGCCTAGAAAATAGGAGAAAAAAGAACAATGCTCATCCTACATACAAGGGCATCATAGGAGTATATATTAGGAACAAGTATAGACTAAACTTTATACATAAATTGTTTCACTTTAAAAAAATGATTTTATATTTATTTTTTTAACTTGACATATGATCTACATATAATTTATAATATTGCTTATGCAGTGTTTTGTCAGTTATAGTTTCACTACTTTCTTTTTTATACTGACTTGATTATTTTAACCAAGTATACTTAAAGTTTAATAATCATGTCCTGATTACAAAATGGATATGAAATGTCCATGAAACCTGAGCTCTTGGGCACAAGGAAGAGGATAGAGTAGAAGCCCCTCCCCTGCTGATCCCTGGGGACTGGCTCTATCGCCTCTATCTCTAGGAGATGGCGGATTTCTGCTCTCATGCGCTCCCTCTTCTCTGGGTTCCTGGGGGGTAGGACAGTGAAGAAACTTTCTCTGGGGAAAGGTTAGAAAGTCCAGGACAAGGCCCCTCCAAATGGTATTGAGGACCCACTTGTCCGATGTTATCTCCTTCCACCTGTCGGCGTACAGAAGCAGCTGACCCCCAATGGGAGGATCCCTGTGACCGTCACTTTCCCTTACGAAAGGGACGGGAGCTACCACTGTTGTTTCCGCCTCCTCGGAA